ATTAACAGAATTACTATACTAACCACTAACAACTTTTCGATGAACTCTGTACAAAAGTGTTGCCAGCTGTGTTAAGACTGCCGTCAGAAGCCACGCTGGATGAAGTGTATGTAGTTGAGCTAAAAAGGCTATGGCTGCTAGGACACTTGTATATCCCAGCCATGGTAGAAACTGGATGCGGCTGCTACTTACACTGAACTGTTGGCATAAAAGGATATGAGTGATATTTGAAAAAATGCAAATGAATCTATGGAATAAACAACTGAGTACTTGAATTTCTCAGAGGAACACTTTCAAGTGCCACATCACATCGTCATCTGATGAATATATTGAGACTAATGAGTAAAATTATGAAATAAAAAGAAGATTCTAATATACATTTACAAATACTACATAAGACAATTAGTAGCAGCAGGTTTAGCAACTCTCAGAACTTAAAGTATGAAAGAACACACCATAGCCTAACTAGTCAATGTTTCAGTAATCTCCAACTAAACAGCCTGTAACAATTTCTGTAACTATGCAGAACACATTCACTGCAGAACTCAGTAACTATGCAAAGAGGCTTGTCACAAATACACCAAAGCCTCATTCTCCCATCTTTCATCATAAAGCATATAGAATTTTCTTGAAAAGTTTTTGAGTTTTTCTCTAATTTCTACCAATACCTGATTTCCTATAAAGGCAGATGAGAGGTTTAGTGATTTGGTACCATATCTTTTCCCAGTTAGGCAATAAATGTATCTGTACTTATATATATGCATCTATTTTTCCTTTTTAGATCAAAAACATATAAATATGTTCGCAAAGTAGAGATTTTCATAGCACAATAAACTGTGCAAAAACATCTTATTGCTTATTCCAAAATTTGTTATTTATGAAGTATATGAAACTACATGTCTGGGTAATCAGTATCACCTGTAGAATATGGTACAGTGCCAAAGCCATTTTGAATCTAATTTTACTCTACACCCATTGCAGCTGGTTGTCACTGTAATAAATAAGAAAAAAAAATCTGAAAAGTACATCAGTTTATTAGCAATGTTGAAAAAAACATCTCCATTCAATTCATATATATACATAATTTTTTGTACACACATGAAATGATGAAAATGTCCACTGCATGTAACTGCTCTGGGTCCACAACACCCACATACAGCCAGAGTCATTATTGTCTCATTTTCTGTAGCTCCATTTTATACGTTTTCTATATGCCTATTTTCTATAATTATAACATTTTCTTTTGACCATAAGTGTTGCGTTTTTTGTTGACGAACCTGGAAATCAATTCTGATTAGTTAATTATTTTCATCATTACTTTTTCATATTCCTCATTACCTTTCCTTTTGTTTAATGATGCTACTAGATCTCTTTGGTTGCATACTCAAATGTATATGCATTCTTATTTAATTTTTCTTTATTATTTCCATTATCCATTCTTAAGTACTTATGGACATTATTGCTTGTTTACCTTAACCCAATGGCACTGGGTGTACAAAACAAAAAAAAACTCTACATTTAAGCAAACAAAGGCGGCGTGCCGACTTTGAGCGCGTGAGTAGGGGACATCAGCCCGAATCACTGGCTCGCCGCACTTTGGGGTGCCACCGGCTTGTTTGGCTGCACGCCAGCTTTCGAGCGCTTTCTTTACACGCCGATCGGCGTCACCCGGCACCAAGGGGTTAATTGCCTCCCATATTGGAACAATACACACTGTTAATCACTTCCTTTTTTGACAGGGCAGGATCTTCAAACTTCTATGGTCAGTGACATAGGGTACATCTGATTTTATTTCTAAATATTATTTTTTTCAGTATGGTGTTGCTCTTATCATCATAGATAATTAGTGTTATTTATAAATGTTTTTTATCGTAGATACAGGCATTTTCTGCAACATTATGGCAGCCAGGCCAACTTCTTGCTCAATGTGTGCCGATCGCATAGAGCGTTTCTTATGATTCTGCATGGAGCATCTTTCAATTTCTAAACAAGACTATTTGTGATTGTGCCCTCCACACTGACAGTAGGTGTCACAATTTCTTTTCTATAACAAATATGTCATTTGGTACGACGTGCTAATAAAGGGGGGGGGGGGGGTATAGGGGGCTTGTCCCCCCGTGTCTAGAGAATAAATAGAAGGTGGGTAAGGTTAGGTTGGATTTCTGGGTTCACATGATACACAATGTTTACTTACATGTGACTAAACAGTCTATTATAATTGCATTGTTCATAACTAGGCTCGCCTTTTCTGAAAACAGACTTTTTGTGCATACAGTTTTGCGCTTTCAAACCCCAGTTCCCCATACATCCCCCAAGATTGTTGAGTAGAGGATATATATAAAAAATATGATTTTGGAACCTAGTCTCTGGAGGGAGCATCACTCTTGGTAACAATAACCTTCTGTAAAATCAGTGTTACAACAGTACTCTGAGAGAGGTCACTTCATAATCAATTACCAATGCTTTCACTCACATAATTTGTGATGGAAAACAAAAACAG